AGAGTAAATCGCTTTTCGCATCCGCAGTCATGCCTCTGGTGGAATTCCTCATCTAACCGGCGGTCAATGGAAATCGTAAATTTTTAAGAGCCCAAAATCCTTAAATCTTTACCAACTATGGATCGAAAGTCAGCACAACTACAGATTCATCAATACAGCCCTATTGATCTTATTGTTAGAAGGAAATGCTTAGATATGACAGTTCTGCAAGCTGCGGTTCATAATGTACTACATAAAGTTGGACTTACAAAAAACGCTCTGCAGCCAACATCTGACCCAACGATAAAACCGAAACCAAACGCATGCATATAAACCGTCTATGTCAAAAACGGATTTAAAATTTGCCCAACTCAGTTTCAAACGAACAAAATAAGCCAGGATTGGCAGTACAAGAAATGAAGTTTCGCACCTCCGTTACTATAGCGCAGTGGATAGTGCGCCTGATTCGTAATCTAAGGGTCTAGGGTTCGAGTCCTTGCCCAAACTCATGTTTTGCATTTTCAAATTTTTGCTAGAAGAAAAACGATCTAAAAACGCACAACAGCTTGACCAGAAATGGTATAATGCTCTCGAAAAAGTACAGGAGTGGGCAATATTGAAGTCTCTGAGCTCAAAAAAGCCGAGGAGCATCCCTCGAACGAACAGCTAGGATATCCCGCGTTAATTTTCTGAATCTATGGCTCATCAGAATTACTCAGGGATAAAAAATGGCCTGAGATGAATCACAAGGGATAAACGCGAGCCGCACGCGATGAAAACAATCCATATCTATGCATTCAAGGACAGTGCCAAATATACATTCCAGCAAAAAAAAATAGGTGAATACGCTTAGTACATCAGTGCATAGGCATAGTATAAACGCTCCTTAGAGCAAAATCATCCCTTACTAGTAGAGATTTTTGAAGTTCGAAGCTATTCCTTAAACATCGTCAATTTATCCGCAATTCCATATTTCAATCATGCTTGAGCTTCTGAGCGATACTAAGCGACAAAGCATAACCGCAAATTCTACTACTACTCCTCCCAGCGTGAAATAAAA